AACATCGTGTTTTGGTTGTAAATCAAATAACATAAACTTCTTGATAAAGGAATAGCAACCTCATTAGAATACAGATCCTGTGTCCAAGCTTTGCTTACAAGGATCTGATAACACTCAACGTTTTACTTTCGGTTCTGGTAATTATTACATCAACCATAGAAATTTCAGACTTCAAATTTTTGAAGGTGTGTATTTATCTGACAAAACCAGAGGACCCAGAAAGGTCTTCTAAACAGAGGTAGAACTGGGCGTATTCAGATCCTTGTACGCAAAGCTAGGAAACAGGATCTGTTTTTAAACAGATTGAGGAATAAGTATTGACAATTACCTGAAAACAACACGATATTGCTGGGCCTTTTAAATGCTCCATGAAACCACGTTCCAAAATATTTACATCTATTTTATCAACAATCAAAAAGGGGCTTACAGCTTCTGTGAAATTACCTACTCTAGGGGTGGGGTGAATCAGATGTGGATATTAAAAAATTTCTAAAGACCTGTCAGAGTACATACAAACTCGGTCTCTTTACTCTTGCAATGATATAAAAAAATATTTGACTTCGTTACACAAGTATTTCTTATTCTAAACATAAAGTTAGATTGAAAAAGTTAGCCCAACTTTGTTTCTTAAAAAGAATGTAAATACAAATTATTTCAAAAAGAGATCAATCATACTTTGTAAAAATACCCAACTCTGATTTAAACAAAAATTTCTCTGAAATTGACATCATCAAGATGCTTGATTTTTTGATTGACAACACACTTGATACGGTTGGAGGACTTGATTTTCAACAGACAGTCGGCATTTCTATGGGACCAAGCTATGCTCCTCTTCTTGCCGATTTGTTGTTTAATTCATATGTGGCAGACTTCATACAGGGAGTTCTCAAGAAGAATGAAAAGAAGCTAGCATTATCCTTTAACTTCTTGTTCAATTTGGTGACTAAGTTGATATCATCTATCTGGGAATAAAGGATACGACATATGCATTTAAATTGACAAAGAGGGATCATTTCACCTTTCCAATTGTGAACTCTCCATTTGTATATACTAGTAGTAACATTCGAGCAGCGCCTGCATATGGAGTATACATCTCCCATTTGATACGACATTCCGGAGCTTGTATTTCCTACCATAATTTCTTTGATAGAGAGCATCTGCTAACAGAGAAGCTATTGAACCAATGGTACCTAGCGGTAAAGTTGAAGTCAGCCCTTTACAAGTTTTACGGACTCAGTCATGAGTTTGTTAACCATTATGGAAAAACTATGTCCCAGTTCCCATTGTCATAGATTTTTCCTCGATTCCGAATTGACATCGAATTTGTACTTACAATAAGAAACACAACGGGTGCCACACATGGAACAGGATTTCCAAATGTGGCACCCCTAGTTTTGTTTACAAGGGGGTTTGTGTTGCTGTTACTTTGATTTTAAGTGTTGTACTTTGTGATTTTCAATTTTAATGTCTGGGTATTTTATACAGTTAGATGTTGTCTAACTTAAACGTGTTTCAATTTCAAAATGTCTTATCTGCTAACTCTTCCAGCGGACCTGATACCACACATGGGTTTTTGTGAGATCCGTGTTGCCATGTCTAGTTTTTGATGTGGTGCCTTGTAGACTAACAACAGATGGGTGATCGACATAGCTTACATTGGATCTTATTGCCAGATGAGTGGAAGTGCACAGACTCAGAAATAATGTTGGTATCATATACTATAATTAATTCAGATGATCGTGATTGTTTGAGACACTATTTGTATAGATGCACACTCAGACTGCTATACCAAACTAATAAGGTGACAGAAGTTGTAAGTCACCATTTTTATAAATGCTAAGACTGCTACACCAAATTTATAAGGTGACAGAAGTTGTAGGACACCATTTGCATAGAATCTCGGACTGCTATACGAAAGTTCAAAATGGTGACACCATTTGCATAGATGCTCATACTTCTATACCAAATTTATAAGGTGACAGAAGTTGTATGTTTACACAGATGCTCGAATTGCTATAACAACGTTTTAAGGTAACATAAGTGGTATGACACCATTTGCATAGATACTCAGACTTCTATACTTAAATTTTTATTTTGACACCATTTGATAGATGCTCAGACTACTATACCAAATTTCTAAGGTGACAGAAGTTGAATGACACCATTAGCATAGATTCTCAGACTGCTATACTTAAGTTTTTATTTTGACACCATTTGATAGATGCTCAGACTACTACAAACAAACTTATAAGGTGACAGAAGTTAAATGACACCATTTGCATAGATACTCAGACTGCCTTACAAAATTTATAAGGTGACAGAAACTGTAGGACACAATTTGCATAGAATCTCGGTCTGTTATACCAAAGTTTTAATGGTGACACCATTTGCATAGATGCTCACACTGCTATACCAAATTTATAATGTGACAGAAGTTGTAAGTCACCATTTGCATAGGTGCTAAGACTGCTACACCAAATTGATAAGGTGACAGAAGTTGTAGAACAACATTTGCATAGAATCTCGGACTGCTATACGAAAGTTTTAATGGTGACACCATTTGCATAGATGCTCAAACTACTATACCAAATTTATAAGGTGACAGAAGTTGAATGACACTTTTTGCATAGATACTCTGACTGCTATACCAAAGTTTTAATGGTGACACCATTTGATAGATGCTCAGACTGCTATACCAAATTTATAATGTGACAGAAGTTAAATGACACCATTTGCATAGATACTCAGACTGCTTTACAAAATTTATAAGGTGACAGAAGCTTTAGGACACCATTTGCATAGAATCTAGGACTGTTATACCAAAGTTTTAATGGTGACACCATTTGCATAGATGCCAAGACTGCTATACCAAATTTATAAGGTGACAGAAGTTGAATGACACCATTTACATAGATACTTTGACTGCTATACCAAAGTTTTAATGGTGACACCATTTGATAGATGCTCAGACTACTATACCAAATTTCTAAGGTGACAGAAGTTGAATGACACCATTAGCATAGATTCTCAGACTGCTATACTTAAGTTTTTATTTTGACACCATTTGATAGATGCTCAGACTACTACAAACAAACTTATAAGGTGACAGAAGTTAAATGGCACCATTTGCATAGATACTCAGACTGCCTTACAAAATTTATAAGGTGACAGAAGCTGTAGGACACAATTTGCATAGAATCTCGGTCTGTTATACCAAAGTTTTAATGGTGACACCATTTGCATAGATGCTCACACTGCTATACCAAATTTATAATGTGACAGAAGTTGTAAGTCACCATTTGCATAGATGCTCACACTGCTATACCAAATTTATAAGGTGACAGAAGTTGTAGGACACCATTTGCATAGAATCTCGGACTGCTATACGAAAGTTTAATGGTGACACCATTTGCATAGATGCTCAAACTACTATACCAAATTTATAAGGTGACAGAAGTTGAATGACACCATTTACATAGATACTTTGACTGCTATACCAAAGTTTTAATGGTGACACCATTTGATAGATGCTCAGACTACTATACCAAATTTATAATGTGACAGAAGTTGTAGGACACCATTTGTTTAGAACCTGGGACTGCTATACGAAAGTTTTAATGGTGACTCCATTTGCATAGATACTCGACTACTATACCAAATTTTTTAAGGCAACTGAAGTTGTATGACACAACTTGCATAGACTCTCAGACTGCTTTACCAAATTATTAAGATGAAAGTTGAGTTCAATCTTTTGCTGGTCTGATGAACAGCAGCACAGGTTTTTCTTATAATTCACATACTCAATTCCCTTCTAAAAGAAGTAATAATCTTTAAAAGCTCTAAAGCTTATCCATAATATAAGATCAATCTTTTTAATACAGGTTTACAAGTGAACATCAGATTGAAGAAAAACAGCAATAAAAGACACATAGAAAATTGGTTAATTCCCAATATTGCAAATCCAATAATTCATCTACTTCTTTCTCTATAAACCTTCTGTTTTCAATTTGTGGTGCTACTCCTGATACACCAGGCCTGAGGGTATCATATCAATTATATAACATTAATATAAAGTCTACCACTGCACTGAGTGTGATACAGTATTTCTCCACTCCAGACAGTTATATTTTAAAATTGAGCATGATACTTGCCAAGCATTTTACAAGGGTTTTAAAAAATTCAACTATCATGAGTGGAGATAATTGTAATGCATAATATTAGACAGTGGAATCAGTTTAACTAATGATTATTAGACATTACACATGCAAACTTTATCTTTCTTTATCAATGACAGCAAAATGATGTGTTCTTACTTTTACACATCATCAGCAAGTTCAAAGGAAAGCAAGAAAATATGACGTCATAATTGAATCTTGACCACTGAAGACCCCAGATCAATGACTACATGTTGATTATAAATGAATGGAGAATGTGTCTACAGATGCAGGATTCACGTAGTTAACAGTTTTGTGATTATAAGCATTGTGTATAAGCTTTATAACATTTGGTTGAGGCAAACTAAAGTTAGAGAACAGAAATGAAAAATTCAGTAATTTTTATGTTTATAAAGGGCATAACTCATGAACGGTAAAAGTGAGGCTACCCATTTTCAAACTTGATATGTGTTTTGAGGTAAGTAGCATTGTGTATTAGTTTTATAACAATTGGTTTAGGCAAACTAAAGTTAGAGAACAGAAACGAAAAAATCTGCAATTTTTATGTTTATAAAGGGGCATTACTCATGAACGGTAAAAGTGATGCCAACTATTTCGAATTTGATCTGTGTTTTATGGTAATTAGCATTGTGTATAAGTTTTATAACATTTGGTTGAGGCAAATTTAAGTTAGAGAAAGGAAACTAATTTTCGGGACAGACAAGGGTAACTCTTAATGCCCCCTCCGCTACAGCAGGGGCATAAAAAATAATCAACTGGTCAGGGAAAGTATAAACCGTCTAACAATTAAAGAAATACAAATTTACAAGCAAAATAAATAAATCATTCAAAACAAAAATATTTTTTATCACAGAATCTCAATATAATCTTCAACAATACAGAGCAGCAGATGAATAAAACAAAAGGCAAGACAAAAACAAAATACACAAGATATAGAACTATAGATCTCAAAAATAAATTTGGTAAACATATTCTGATGCAGGTATTTTCCTACCGAATAATCAAAATAATATATAGTAAAATTCTTACTGAAGTCTAATTATTTTACAATCACAATTTTTATATAGAGAGAATATCTATTCATTTTTTGCAGCCAATGCCCGCATCAGAGGAGAGGGTTCACTAGGGGTCAATATTGGCCCTAAAATTCCATGAATTTATGTTTTAGTAATTTTAATACACATTTGATGAAAACGTGTGTAAAACTATCCGAGAAACTCAAAATTTGTACGCTCAGCATTATGTCATTATTGTGCTTATAAATGTTAGAAATCTTAATTTTGACTAAATTTTGGTAAAATTTTGATACTTTTGGCTGGAATCAATTTTGCCACATGCATGGATGAACATCAATTTTTGTTAGGATGTGACAGTGTATCTCACCCAAATATTTCTATTTATAACAAATCTATTTTAGTAAAAGGGTTTGTCCTATGTTTTTCAGCCTTAAAAACCCTACAAACAAATTATGCTCTTGAACAACTGATAAGAAACCGTACACCCTATAACAAACTACTTACCTCTACAACCATTGGCTAGAACTATTTCTACACTAAAATTTACATTTGTACATTAAATACAGTTCTGATTTATGCTCCGGTTCTTTTATATACCCAAACTTATACAGGTGTAAACTCCTTTCCGTGCAACCTGCTAATTCAAATTAGAATTTTACCAAGAACAATTCAATATATTAAAAACCTTTTAAAGGTTTTGAAATCAACATTGCTCAAGCTTTCTTTTGGTGATTTTATCTAAGATTCGGCTGAATTAAATCTGAGCAATTTTGTTTCTACTTTGAAATTTTTAAAAAGAGCTAATCATAAAATTAAAAAAGACTCAACCAGTTGGACAAAGTGACAACCTTTTTAAGATTGGGTATAATGTAATATAACAATTTCTTTTGGAAACTTCAACAAGTGTATACAAAAATATAAAAAAAAATAATTACTAAATCACAGTTAGTTTGAATTGCCTGTAGAATGAGCAATCTTATATGACAATAAGTAATAAGATGAAAAAGATATTATGAAATAGTGAAAAATAACATCTGTGTCAAAAGATTAGATAATAATACTTTATTCCAAAAGCAAAAGATTAAGTTTGTAACCTAGTTTTCTCAATAACAAATTCATAATGCATGAAATTTCTAGAACCAATATATATTAAAAAATTTTGAATATCAGCTGAACACATAAACACCAATTTGAAATACTAATTATTATTACTCATATACTCATGTATAATGGTAAGTAACTTATGTGAAAATTACCAAACATGACTATTAATGTTGACAATGTATATCACTATTCAATGTAAAGAAATATAACCATGATGATCTTTTAACAAATAGTCACTACATTAAGCACGCAAAATTTAATGTTATGCATGTGAAAGTGCTTTGAAGATAATTGTAAGTGAAAACACAGTAATGTTTATCCCTGAAGAGTCCCTGACAAAATCAAATATTAAAGCTTAATTCTTAATCAGTAGAATGTTTGTACATTCACTGGCACAAAACTTAATATCACTGTGACATAGATTTTAATGTTTTATGACAACAAAAGCTACTAAATTTGTAGATAGAAAAGTGTAAAGGATGCTGTATTGATAAAAAAAAAAATTTGGCAACAACATTTTATAGAAATACATCTAAGGCACAATTAACAATGCATTTGGCTTTCATATGTAAGCACTTAGGAGGCATAAACATTGGCACTATTCAAAACAAAAATTTACAAAGCATTCAGCAGTAAGATTCTGTTATAAAAGTGGCTTACAAAGCATTCAGCAGTAAGATTCTGTTATAAAAGTGGCTTACAAAGCATTCAGCAGTAAGATTCTGTTATAAAAGTGGCTTACAAAGCATTCAGCAGTAAAATTCTGTTATAAAAGTAGCTATATTCTTAAATCAAGATGTCTGACCTTTTTTCTGGTTAAAAAATTTACAGATGCTCATCATACTCTGTGTCTTGTACTTCTGATTTACAATCTACTGCCTTTTCTCAGATGTACAGTTTATTTACTAGTTAACAACTTACATATGAAGTATATAGCAATTCAAATTGACAAGGGAAAGAATTTGACTGCCATGAGGTGAATAAATTGAGAAATACAATTTCAACACTAAACACAATAAACAAATTTGTTACTTCTAACTAGTCACAAGACTTATGGCAGACAAATTTCCACTGATTATTGCTAACTTAGTCTAAAGAATACTTTACACTCACTTCAAAGAAGCCTCTGAAAGATAAATTTTAGACAGATGTGTACACTTTATTTTGTAGCTTATTATATAAGTCTTTCACAATCCAACCAATATCTAAAGTTCTGGCACTTTGCCAACCTCATCAATATAAACTGGTTGTAACAAATAGTCTGACATGCCTGGTTCAAATGGTTGGACTCTGTTGATAAAGTCCTGATATCCAGTATACACTTCATGTAATTTGGTTTCCACATTTAATTTAGCAAGTTCTAAAGCTTGAATATTCTTCAAATATTTGTTAATTTCTCCTTTTTTCTGCTGTATATCGCCTTTTAATTGTGCAATTTCTGCCTCATATTTTTGTTTTGTAGCTTTTAATGTATTGTCAGCCTTCTTCCTTTCATTTTCTTCTGTTTTACTGATTTTTTCTGTCATTTCTTTCTTTTTAGCAGCTTCAAGATCTGTCAATGCTTTAGTTTTCTCTGTTTCAGCTTTCTTCAGTGCTATTGCTAGTTTCTCTTTGTGACTTCTGTAAGATAGAATAGTTATCAATCATAACTGTAACACAGCAGATACATGTATTATTATGAAATTTGACAGCTGTTTGTTCACTAGAACAGTTAAAAACAGGTACTGTAAATTCAGAAAGTATTGCCATTTTGAAGAATGGACAAAAATGTGAGATTATTTATTGCGATTTCAGGAAAATCTGCATACAGATATAAGTATCAGATATCAAAATGTGATTTCTTATTATTGCGATACTCACCCCAGTCGCATAATTGGCAATAATAAAAACCTCGCAATAATTTCTGAATTTACAGTATTCTTGTAAACAAATTTGTTTGTTAAGTAAATATCTTATTTGATAATTTAAGCAGATCTTTAGATTGTTTCAAAGTAATTTCTTCTTCGCTTCTGTCTACAACAATGATAACAGCAACTATTTTCTGTAGATAAAACATGTGTCTGGCGTACCAGATTATATGGTCAGTATTATGGATGTTTTTAAAACCAGTAGGTTGATGCCATTGCCGGTGGACATTTCCTCCCTGAGGGTATCACCAGCCCAGTAGTCACCACTTTAGTGTTGACATGAAATATCATTGATATGTTCATTTTCTGTAAATTTACTGATTTTAAATTATGAATTATTTAAAACACTTAGGTTGCTTTAGAGTTTCAGTTTTTTAAGCTTGTCAAATTCCTATTTGGTTTGGCCATCCAACTGTTTTGATTTGAGCTCTACTGACGAGACTTATGCAAATGGAACATACGTCTTGTTTACCAAATTATAAATGGGTATCTATTATGAGTTTTTGCTACACATATTCCATTTTCTAAATGTAAATGGCTAATCCAATAAATTAATGTACACTAGAGTTTAATCATGAAAACTTTTGTAAAAACATGCATTTAAAGAATGAAAATAAAAAATGTCTTGATTTTTTAATTCAAAATATTTTTTGGAAAAAACTGTAGTATTTTCATCTTCGTCATAATTGTTTTAAAAATATCATAATGAACTCTTTATATATATTATTCCATTTATTCACAAGAAATCAAAGAGTTGGCAGGCTTATCACTTTTTGATTTAATATTTGATATGTTTTGAAGACAGGTTTAAAAAAGAATGTTTTTAACCAATTTCTAACTACTTATGTTGTAATAATAGTGCATTGTTAGTGTGACCATGTTCAATAACTACTGTCTAAAATAAATCTATAATTCATTTAAAAAAAGTGTATCCAGGGAAAGATATTTTTTTCAAAAGTTAAGCTTAAAACTAATCTACCATTATCATTAAGGGATCAAAAGTTTTAACAAAAATTCTTTCAACAGATTTATCCTGAACCGCTAGAGGGTTTATAAGATGATAGAAGGGTAACATGCCCAAAGCTGTATTTTGTTCTATCATTATTTACAAAATAAAAATCCTCACTGAGCTGTGTATGTATTTTCATAATGTTACTAAGTTTATTATCCTAATTATGGGTATAATATTTACCCCTCTAAGAAAAACATCAATCAGTAAAAATCAGATTAGTAATTACTTGCAGTAATTAAGTCTAGATTACAGTATTAAAATAATTTTTTATTAAACTTTAATATTTCAACTAATGAAAAGTAGGAACTGCAAAGGCAGATGATATATTTAGTCTAAAAACAGGGATCAGTTTTAAAAGTATCTTGAGCAAATACTAGAAAATTGGAGAAGGTGAATATCATATCTCTGGGGTTGATAAATTATTGAATCAACCTCATCAAAAGTCAATAATTGCATAATGTACAAGACAAATTGTGTTCTTTGGAAAAAGAAAACAAACACATTCTATGACATTTGATCTCTGGTGGAGAGTTGTCTCATTGGCAACCATACCACATCTTATTTTTAAATTCAATTGAAAATTACATTAAGAAAGCTCAGATTCAGGAAAAATGGTATCACACATGTCATTTCTACCTAATTTACTGTGATCTATATTAAATGAAGCCTTATCTTACTCTTGAGTTAATCGGTCGGTGACAAGGACATTGTTGTAATGTTATAAGAGGATTACATTATCTGTTAACTATAATCTTTCCTCAGATTAGAAATTTTGTCATCATGGACTTACATGCATTTTAATGTTTTAATTTGGACAACATTAAGGTAAGAAATTATTATAGTTTTCTAAGAATAATAAGAAAACTATTTTTCATCTATTCTGTATATCATTCTTATTTTATGATATTAAAGATACAATTAAAATTTTGAATTTGAAAATTTAAAAGATCTTCTTAAAAGGATGTCAAGACATACAGAAAGAGGAACAGGACAATAATAATATATCTATCAATGAAAATTAGGAGAAAGATACATTAACAAATATGTATCTATATATATGTAGTCTACTTTCACCTAATGCTAAATTTTATTTTTCGTCTCCAATCTATTTTTGATATTGATATTAAAAAAATAACAAATTATTACATTTGTTTTTGTACTTGAAAATAAATGTTTGAAAGATTAAGATAATTTTCTGATTGGTTTTTTTTTGTGCCTACTTTTCAACATCTGCTGCTTTCTTTTCTGCTGTCATCTGTTCTTCTTTCCTGACCTCTGACAAAGCTTCAGATAAACGTTTTGAAAAGTCTTTCTCTTTTTCTGTTATAGCATCCTTGAGTCTCTGTTCAGCTTCCAGTCTTTCCTGTTTTACCTGTTCTATTGCAAGTTTCTGCATTGCCATCTCAACTCGTAATGCCTCCTCCTTAAAAAAAAAAACTTTATAGGATGCCAATATTTCTATATAGTATACTGAGGATAGTTTATCAATAATATTAACAGTAACTACAAAGTTCAATGGAATTTTGTGTCAATAATTTTTGTTTACCTAAAATGAATCATTACTTCTTAAAAGAAATTTGTCATATCTTTTTTGATTTCGGAGATTATTTTTTCTAAAAATAATATAATTTTGTGTTACTCAACAAACTTTCAATAATGAATCATTAATTTTTAATATTTTACAGTTTTATACATTAAAGCAATTTGTTGACTGTATAATTTTGGTGAAATAAATGTAACCTTTTAGTTTCAACTTCCAAAGTGGGATGGCTTCCTCTAAAGAATTATTTAGTGAGAGAATGCTGCTGGTATATATTTCTATGAAATAATGTATTTTTCAGTTATTTTCATCTCTAACAAATTAACATTCAAATGAATTCAATCAGTAATTACTAATTAAATGAAAAATTTGTAAGGGGTTCCACGGAACCCTGTGTCTCATCTGCAATTGCTGCTGTCAGTGTATAAGTGTAATGTTGACTTAAAAAATGAGTCCATTTATCAGTAAAATACAGAATTTAAAAAAAAATTGTACTTTTTCTTAAGATGCTATTTCTTGGTCTTGAAGATCAGCTTCTGTCCAAGTTTCATAACAATCCATGAGGGTTTACAAATTTATCATGTAAAAAAAATTTAAACCCAAAAATGTTGCAGTCTCGACAAAAACATATCAGGGAAATAGGGACACTCACTATTGTGACATAAATAAGTGATTATAAAGTAGTAATTCACCATAGCAATACAATCAGATAAGTTAGGATAAAATAAAATATTTATTTCTATAATTTGACACCCCCCCCCCCCCAAAAAAAAAGTCAAATTTTCTGATTGATATTTCCAAGATACATGTATAACCACCATAAAATAGTAGGAGTGATGGAGATCAGTATACACTTATAAAATATTTAGTCATATGCTGGTAGAAATTATAAAGCACTGTCCATTTCTTTTGTGGTGTAAAAAAAATAAAAAATAAATCTTTAATGGCAGTGATAAAAATAAAATAAATAAGATAATAGAGATAATAGTGGAATAGAAAGATAAATAACGGGTAGATAAATTTTTGTATAAGTATGATAATTTGCTATTGTTTCATGATAAAACTGTAATGGTGTAATGGAAAATTACCAGTAGCTTAATGTTACATACATAGAAAAGCTGATATGCAGAAGTACATATTTGGTCAAGGCTATCTAGGTCAACTTTCATAAAAATGTGACCAAGTGCATAACTGTAATCATTCATTCTGGACTTCTCTCTTGATATATCAACATTGTGCAAGTAATTAAAACACTTCATTTTTTCTTTTATTTCTTCAAACTAAGATAAAACTTAGGTTTTTTAAATGAAAAAAAAAATCCTTTTCAAAGCTTATGCCATTGCAGGAATTAATTACTTTTAAATATATAACAATAAAACTACAAATTAAAAAAACAAATTTTTATCTGACATATTTGTGCATTATGCTTGTTCATCTATATATACATAAATATTTTGGAAACAAATAAAAATGTGTATTTTGTAAACCAGAAAAAATCATGATACATGTACCAGTAGTTATTTAAATCAGTTATTGATCAGATTAATCTATTCAAACAAGGTCAACATAGCCTAATAAACTGTCCTGACATATGGTCAAATAAACTGTCCTGAAACATGGTCACATAAACTGTCTTGAAATAAAGTCACTGTGTTCATGATGATTGAATGGACATGATATTAATCATTTTATTTAGCTTCATCTGATCCATAAAAGCAAAAAGAGGATTATTTTTTAAATAATCATAGTGCTGGTAAATTCTGTTCTAGTATTTAAATTGCAAGGTAATGCAATAAAATTGTAACATTAATGTTTTCTCCTTTGTTTACTTTCAATTTAATATTTGGATTCAGAGCTAAATACAAGTATTATTTCTTATGCAGGTATAGAGCAGATATAAACAAGTCAACATAAATATTTTACAGTGATTCTATAAAAGACATTAAGTGACATCGAAAATGAATAAGGTCAGTATTTTTGTTTTATCTACATGTATTTGTTTCTTCAAAATATCCAATATTTGAGAAGATTGCTATACAGTATGCTACACTCTATCAAGGCTTATTGAATTACATATTTATTTCCTGCAATACTACTTACAGCAAGCCCTCAAACCAATTGACAATGAGTATCTATTTGTTTTTTAGTGGAGTTCCCTATTTGGAAAACATTTATTGCATTCTATGGCTAGTACATTTGTTATTTCAAAATAACAACATTGTGACACCTGTTCATTTTTCAAGTGTTATTTAAGTTCATTTTTTCTAAATGAAAATTTCCAAGACTGAGAGTTAAGCTGGAAAAGGCTGAAATTTTTCCCTGAACAGGTTAAAGGGTTTTTCCTGCATTTTGAAGACTAATTTATATGCAGTTAATGTTTTATTTGGTGAATGCACAAAATCAGCTATGTAAGGCTAGGAACAGTAAATGTTATGCTATTTTTTCTAGAAGGAGTTCTAAAACCATGTTTAATTGCATACCCATCTTTCAAAATACTTCTTGTAAAATTTGACTGCACTGATATGCAGTTTATCTGAAGTTCTTTAGAAGTCATCACATTTTAATTGTATGCATATAACTTTATGGAATTACACCTACTTAAGAATAATAGAAGGTAGTCATACATTTTTTTGTACATGTACCTTTAATGCTTTTTCCTGTGCTTTTGAGACCTTTTTCAGCATTTTTTCTTGATCTAACCTAGATTCTTCTTTAGCTTTCTGTACAGCTTCAGCTTTGATCTGTTCAGCCTGTGCCCAAACAGCTTGTTCTGCTTCACGGATACCCCTCAACCGTTCTACCTCAGACATTTCCATTGAACGTCTCTGTAGTTCATGACCAATACCTGTAATCATTAAGAATTCTTCTGTGTAATACAACTTTAGACTATAAACTACAAGGAGCTTCAATCACTCGGGGAAAATATGCCATAAACAAGAGGCTCTCAAGTGTTTGAATCACTCACCTGCAGCTTTTTATTTAAATTTTTCATCAAAGTTTTTCTTTTTTGCTTTCAAGTTTTTAATGTATAATTAATAAGTGTGGACACAAACCAGTGTGGATAGTATCTAGCATTTCTGAGAGTATTACATGGCAATTAGGAAAGGTGATCTTAAAACAATAAATGAAAAGCAAATATGAAACACAGCAACAAATGACAACCACTTAAATTATTCAGCCCAAGTCTGGCTGAATTTGCTTCAATAGTTTCAGAGAAGATTTTTGAAAGTATTATTCACAAACATGATGAACAAATTATGTAAAATTACCTTTAAAGGGCAAAAACTCCTTGAGGGGTCAATTGACAGTATCTTTATCTATACATACATGTATCTATAATAATATTCAATATAATAACCAAAAACTCCAAAATTTCATTAAAATTATCAATTTATGGGCAAAAACCCAAAAATCGGTTGTCTGATTTGTCTGAAAATTTCAGGACAGGTAGATTTTGACCTAATGAACACTTTTACTCCGTGTGTCAGATTTGTCTATATGCTTTAGCTTTTGAGATATAAGCCATAAACTGCATTTTACCACTTTGTTCTAATTTTATCCATGGCGGCCATGTTTTTTGACGAAACAGAAAATAAAACACAAACTTTATATTAGATACCCAAAAAGATCATTCAGCTTAAGTTTGGTTGTAATTTGTTCAGTAATTTCAGAGGAGAAGATCTTTCAAATAGTTTACACCGGACGGACAACGACAGACGCCAAGTGATGGCAAAAGCTCACATTTCCTTTCAGGAGCTGTTTAGCTTCATTTATTAATTTCAATTTAATAATAATTAGAATAAATTTAAATTACTGTTTATTTGAAATATATACACATATATATTGTACACTGCACATTACCAATTTTTATTATTCGGTATAGTACATGTACCAATTTTGTAATATATATAGAACAAGGAAGCTTGAAATTATTAATAACACTGAGTGAATATACAAACTGTAAAACAAAAAAAGAAAGTGAATTCGTTTTCATAGCAAAAATGAAAGAAAGGACAATTTTGGTCTACAGTGGGTTCCTGTACTATTTACCTTGCTAAAAAAGCTTCAACAAAGTGGTGGAAAATTTCTTTGTGGTTTTAATCTTTTAGTATTTTTCCTAAAACATCATAATTAAGCAATTGATTTGCTGCTAATTAGTATCTGATTACACCAAATAGCACTTTCGGGAGTATACAATTTCCCGCATATTTATATTAAAACAGAAAAGTTTGATGATAAGTAAATCAATCATGCACCAATAACCTTTGGCCCCTCATCAGGTACAAATGTAGCACCTGCCTGTAACACGACAGGGGAGTAGCTAGGTATCCAATAAACTGTAGACACAAATTGCAGCAGGGGGTCTGGGCTTCAACATTTTCATTTGCAAAATTTTGTGTACCAAAAACATAAAATAAACTGGTCATTTTAACAATGAAAATAATTTTACAATAACATCTGATGAATTAACACAGTACAATCGGAAATATAAAAAAAAATATTTACAATATGCGTTGACCAGCATAGATCTGTGTAGCCCTTTAATTAAGCAGTACATCCTGTTTAGTATTTTCATATCTACGGTATTCCTTTCTGATTGAGGATAATTGATGTATATGTCAAGTGTTAGTATATACCGACGATCCTTCATTAAAAAAATAGGCACGTAAACACTGAGACTACTATATAATAATACTCTTTTGGGCTAGACATCGACCATTCATCTTTTGATTCTTAAACCTTCACCCTCCCCTGGCCACAAAAACACATACACACAAACAGTTGATGCCTAATGCAGAAGTTCTGTTCTGGTCATACTATCTAACAAAATTCAAGAAATTCATATTTTCTCACATCCTGTACTGCAAAATTCCTACCTGCTAAGAAATTTTAATAATTATGGTCATTACACATAGATCTAAGAGTACTCGAAGTTACTGGAAGCTAGTTGATTGATTGCTAAACATCCAGTGGCAAATAGTTCATGCATGTTCAGGACAAAAACAAATTTACAATAAATACAACAGGTAGGTCCTATAATATAAATAGGAGTCGTCCAGGATGAAGGTTTGGAAATTTGGAAATGCCTTTGGAAAATGAGGGTTTATTGAATAGGGACAGAAATTTTGCCTGTCAGCAGACCAACTATGACCCCTCAAAGACTTGTTGCAAGTGCTCTTAACGTGCAGTCTGCAGAGAGCGTGGCATTCTCTCTATGCTAGGCATCAGATTAAACGTCCCCATTCTGTAACTTAGTGAAAACAGTTACATAAAAATATACTACATATGTTCTTTGTATGGAAGAACTATTTCTTACGTAATAAAAAAGCAAATCTTATTTGAATTTATTATGTTTTTCTTCGTATGAGAATTACAATGAGATGAAATGAAAACTTCACCATCGCATATCATCACCAGTAGTCAGACTTTTATCGATCAAATTTTTAATGAGTATCAAAAGGTTAAAAAATTGTACAGTTTAGGATTTTTAAAGATTAAATGGATAAAATCCTGTCTGAAGTTGTATATATAGTTCATAGCCAGTTTGCTGATATTCAATGTATTCTCTAGTATATATGCCCATATCCATGTAGTCAAAATTACATAGGGATCTTTCCATGTCTTGAATTGGATAACAGTTGTTATATTTTGTTGGACACTTAAATTTGTGGATAAAGCCATCAACGAAAACCACAATTGGTACCCCATGAATAAAAGTACTTTCACAGTATATCCAACAAACATTGAAGTTTTATCCTCTGGTTGAGAAGTTTAACAACATCCCCACATGTTTTGAATTTTTATCAGAATATTTTAACCCACATTATATAAACAAACTAAAGGACATAAGTTAAATTCCTGGCACTCCACTCACTGGTTTCAAAAGCTTGTAAACAAAATTTCTAGCTAAAAGAAATGTAACAATAATAACTTCATGCTCATTATCATTTTGTTTGGTAGTCAAAAATTAAAATGTATAAAAACATGTTTACAATCAAAATTCTGAGGATATTTTTTGGACAAAAAGTAGATTAAAATTTTTTTTGTTACTCATTTTGAAGTTATTGATATTCACGTACTGACAGTACCAATTTTACTGTTCCATTAAAAAACTTCTTTAACTTTTTTCAAATTCATTTTTTAAATTATTCAAAATCCTGTCAAGCTGAAAAATGAGCCTCTTGGCAGTTGTAACTCATTTATAGGAATTCTTTGTTTTGAAATGTAAGTAAAAATTAAATAATCCCTTACTAAGTACATGTTTTACATTAATTCATCACAATAAAGAAGCATAAAAGCCTACAAGTCCTTTGTATTAATTTTCTGACATATAATGATTATTCACAGTCAATGAAATTTGAAGAGCATGTTCTAATAACAAACTTTATGAAATTTAAAAAATACAGTTTACATAAATGTGTGAGTGCATCAGGAAAGATTGATAGATTGGTGTTTAACGCCACTTTGAGCACTATTGTGCTATTTCATGGAGGTCAGTTTGTATTGGTGGAGGAAGCTGGAGTGCCCAGAGAGAACCACAACCTTCGGTAGGAAAACTTGCAATCCTGGTCAATTAAGATTAGAGTTGAGCACACCTGCCACATGTGGGTTTTGAACTCACAACCTCAGTGTTGACAGGCTAGTGATACAGTAGTTCAACTACTTGGACCACTTGGCCACCGAGGCAAGTGCATCAGGAAAGAAATGTTTTAAACTTCCCAGCAAAATTGATGTTCTTGCAACTTTAATGTTGCCTTCTTTTACTTTAGGTGCTCTATCCCATAAATTTAGAGCCTGACTTAAATATCCTTAAACTTAAACCTTACCCTACCCTACGTACATGTATAGGGATCCCTAAATTAAAAAAATATTCTATTTTCTTCTTTTCTTTTTCCTCGAAAGTACAGCTCTTTACACCAAAATCTTAGACAAAAATTGATTGTAAGCTATACTGAAATGGTTACGACTTACAAAAGGCCAAACAATTTCCCATGTACATGCAATTAATTTGTTTAAAAAATTGAAAATATGCTCAATTACAATTTACTTTAAATTACTTTAAATTTTTTTAATTAATTAAATGTTTAATATTACAATTACATTTTTAATTAGTTACATTTTCAAATAATTACATGTTATTACAATTACATTTTTAATCAATTACATGTTATTACAATTACATTTTTAATTGCCCAAGGTCTGGTATATTTACCTATAATCATGCGATGTGCATGGCCCTGAATGACAACTGGTTTGGTTTCCTCATACCGTTTTGGAACTGTTTGTAATCTGCTTGTTCCAAGAGGAGCTGTTGCAATTCTTGGGGTTATTGCAGGCAGCAGTGATCTTGAAGGCTCTGCAGTAGCCATATCGCTCTTTCCCCTAATCATAGATCTAAAGGTATTTTTGTAGTCTAAACAGCATTTTTTTACTTTTCCTTTGAACCCCACTACAATTTTTCGGAAGTAGCTTCACACAAATGTAGTACATAAAAAATATATTTTCTTCTAAAAATTGACCAATATTATTTTTTAAATCATTTCAGTAAATACTTCAAACGATATCTGACAATTTTGGTAAACAGTCGTTTTAATTTTCTTTGAAAAAAGTTAATTGCGTATAAACACAATGCGTCGATTGTTGCTAAGCGTACTATTTTTCTCTGAGAATTAGCACGATATCTCGCGAGAATGTGTCATCATCACCATTTCCGGCAGTGTTCATCGGGACTGCAAGGTGCGAGTTCCCTGAAGAATACTTGGAAGCCAACTTGATATAGACTTTTAGAGAAAATAGGTGATCACATATACGTTAATTTAGTTGTCAGATAATATTTCTAATCGGCTAATCACTTGTCATGATTCAGGAATATACAACAAAAATCTTTAGCACGATTGAGATGTTGATTGTCTTGCACATCGACCACGTGTTCTCAAATTTGTAAAATTGGTACTCTTGAAGTATTAATTATAGCATATATGTATTATATATTTGTTTTAAAATATTACTGCTGTTACAGTAAAGAAAGGTTTAAAACATGGGGATAGAATTTAATGTTGACGCATATTTTGTTACAATTGTTGACATCTGTTCTTATAATTTTATACACCATCGTTTTAAATACAGAAAACCTTTCTTTGACATTCAGGTCAGATAGTTGGGATCATCATAACCTGACTTTGGCAAACACAATACTTACTGGTGGTTTACCAGTATTGTCAAGAAATTGAGAAAAAAAATTATGTTGACAATACTGGTATATATAAAAAAAAATCAAGTATTGTTTTTTTTTCTAAAATTAGAAATACTACAAAAGTTCAATACTGAAATATGAGTGTATACCAGTATTGATAGAAGAAATGATCTATTAAATTATGTTACATGTTGATAAAGCATAAACAATTGTGTATCAGCAAGATTTTTAGAGAAGTACTGAATATTTTTTTGTTGAGATTTATAAGAAGATGTACTACATTTCCATATGTATATTTATTCATGGATACATACAATGAATGTATGGCTACATGTACGATGAATATAAACCAATAAAGTGAGCAATGAAATAAGCGAGAATATTAACCAAATCATTAACATAGTTTTAAAATAATTGTTAACAAGATTAATTTTAATTGAGATCAAAGGAAATGACCCAAATTATATCATAATTGATTTACATGTAGACCCAATTAACCAAGTACTTGAAATTTATTAAATTAAAAGAGAAAATTTTCTGCTGCTTTTGTACATCAGTCAGGGGTACTACTTATACAAGTGATTTCATTATCACCTATTTAAGTGATTTTGGTGTTTCCTTTGATCTTCAAATTCTAATTTCATTAATTTTCCATATTTTCAAAGTCTAAATCACTTAAAGATGTGATTCTGAAATCACTTGTAGAAGTAGTACCCCTGACAGGTACATGATGTCATTTTAATTTATACAGGACAAGATTTTTTGTTCTATTGAATTTAAAATTAATTGATTCAAATTCCTTAAACAAATCCTGCATTATTTATCACTTTGTGATTCTCATTTGTAACTTTTCGTTTAAATTTAATCATTAAAAAATTGGGATTTAGAAACAATTATGAATTCTTTTACAAGTTTCGAATAAACTAATTACTTAATATTCATTTTTGTTTATTTATTACTAATATGTGTAGAAAAGTCATGGCATCTTGTATAAGAGTGCATCTTACTACAATACTTCCATGATTATCAATACAAAATCTGAAAAAAACAATAGTACTGGTACAATACTGGAATGAAATTTTTTACCTGCATTTTTAACAATACTGGTATACCAGTATTGTAATTGCCAAAATCAGGTGATCCGATAGGTGCTCATTAATGAAGATCAGTTTATCACCATATGTTATATAAAGTGCAGGATGCTGAACTTATTAAAAAACAAAAAATGCTACAAGCAGGGATGGGGTTTATTACTTTAAACAGGTCAGGAATAACCATTAATTGCTGGATTATACCTCAATTCAGGTATTTGCATACTCAGGGTCAAAAGTCGGTAATAGTCTATTATATTCCAGTCTTTAATTGATGTTGGAGAGTTGTCCAATGGCAAATTGTTGAAAATGCACGACGATCCAAGTAAGCGAAACATGCTCTATCAAGCCTCTAGTTTGAAAAGGCATTAGGAAATCACTAGCCAGAAAACATAATAATGTGACTAAAAAGCATGTAAACTTCAGAATTTAAACAATATCAAGTTAATTTATTATTTTAACCCTTTCAAAGCTACACAAAAAAATAAAAAAATGGCTGCTGCTGCTGCATTTTTTTTTTTGTGTTCATTTATTAGAACAGTATATTCCTTTTCAGACTGCTGTATCTTTTTTATTATTAGAGGCTTGATTTGATTTTTGGTGTTTTAACGCCACTTTAAAGCACCGCTTTTGGGCTATTTCGTGGCGGCCAGTTTTTATTGGTGGAGGAAGCCGGAGAAAACCACCGACCTTTGTTAGGAAAACTGACAATCCTTGTCAATTAAGATTGGAGTCGAGTGCACCCGCACGAGCAGGGTTCGAACTCACAACCTCAGTGTTGACTGGCTAGTGATTACAGTAGTAAATACTTCTACCACTCGGCCACCGAGGCCCCCTATTATTAGAGATACAGACAAAGTTAGTGCATGAAAAATGCTCAGGAGAGCATGAACTGTAATGTTATGCAATTATTTTAGTAAAATTTTCATCAAGCTACCTGCATTTTCAGGTAATTAACAGGTAAAAGGTGTAAATTATTATATTTGTGTTGAATTTTGAATAAATACAACTTTTAATCTTCATTTATTTTGTTGTTTTATCTGCCATATAATACAGAAGACACCAGTTGCTCGATTCTGTAGCATATTTGCACCATACACAACGTATAATGTAAACGTGGGGCCAATAAGTGACTCCGTCCTCAAAATTTTCAGTCAACCTCCGTTCCCCCCCTCCTTTTTCTACGTCTCGTAAAGATCAACCAAATAATATTTCACACACGAATTGAATGTTATTAACACATTGAGATAACGGAAAACCTTTTAACTATCCCTCATTGTCAGTTTCGCCATAGAAATGCTGAAATATTTCCATATTTACAGCGTCTTTTTCGATTTCCGCCATTTGCATAGGTCAGAATATTTATTTTTATTTTTCTTCTACTGCATGCTTTTACCATTAAAATTCCCGCGATTTCAAGTGCAAACGGGACGTTGTATATCCTCGATTCATACGAGGAAAAATTAAGAGAGGAACCTAATGAAAACCGAATGGTTACAAGTCTGTATGAAAAATCCATCGTCATCGTGACATATGCCACAAACAGCAGTGGCGGGCGGCGTACATCATCGCGGCATATGCCGTGTATAGCATTGAAAGGGTAAAGTTGTAAAAAAGATGTTTTTAGATTTTATTAATGTTTTTGAAACATTTTACATACAGGTGAACAAGATTTAGAAATTTATGTTTATATCTTTGTCATTATAGGAAATGTTGGGTGGTGAGGCTTGTTTTAATGAACTGGATCCTTCCAGGAACCCAGTTCTATTTTTGGATGAAGACTATACACTTAAGCTACAGAGTGAAACCCTACACAATGAAACATTATTTGAGATATTAGACACAGCTAGTAATAATGGAGGAGGAGGAGGTAATGTAACCATGTTTGTCAACCTCTCAATAGTCGTAAATTCATTGCATAAAAAGGGAAATAGTCGCATTAAAATTTTCTCTCAAAAAACAGAAATAGTGCTTGTTGAAATATTTTATACAAATGTTTATTTATACACTTGAGACCATCTGCCTATCAAGTTAAGTCATACTTTGTTGCAGTTGAGAAATAACATATATGTATGTGTGCACAATTTCATAAATTATCCTATTGTCCATAGTTTAAAAAATGCTCAAATGTGTCTACCTTTAGGCCAAAAAAAAAGAATATGTTTGTTTGCCCTCACCCTATCTACCCAGAAAATAGCTGCCTTCTCAAAATCTTTTATTGTCCTGATGTGAAATTTTTTTTTTTTTAATCAAATAGACATGAAGACTAAAAACCATCTGACATTTCGATTTCTCTTTGCTGAAAAAAAAGAAAATGCCTACCTACCTACCTACCCACTGTCTCTACCTTTGGGTAGGCTTTGGGCAAACCAAAATATTTTTAAGTGTGGCCTTATTAAAAGTGATTTGTTATCACAAAGGTTGTAAAACAAATCCAGTCGAGATTATTAAAGGTCCCTTACATGTATACTAGGTCTTAAAGAGCTCAAATAGAGAGAATTCTTGAATACATCTTTGATTTTAATTTATCAAAGAGATGATGTTTTGTTGTTGTAATAAAGGGAGGACAGTAGCTCTTTGAAGGACCAGTTTTCCATAATTTCAAGCAAAAGGTGCTTATATATATTTATATATCTGTGGCACAATTTCAACCAAGTTTGACATTAGTTGATAGACAGATGGTCACAATGTATAATTTTTGTAAGATTAATCATTTTATTGGCACACTTTGTAGAAATATATATCATGATAAAAAGATTGAGTTACCCTTCATTTTTTTTTTTTTATTATTTCTGGTTCTTTTCTAAGAAAAAAGCAGTGTAACACAAATGCTGAGAGGGAGAAACCCATTAAAAATGATCATTGGGTGTAAAAAAATATATTGATTTTCTATAGGAATTGAAGCAACAGATGTGAGTAGTTTGTTGGCCCAGTTTGAAGAGGCAGCTGATACAGCAAAAGATATACAGTAAGTTATGTAATGGGATAAACAGATCTTATCATCTTGGTGTACATCCAAAATAAAAAAATTAGTTTATTGTAAAAAAATGCACAAAAAAAGGAGAAAATTTGATTTCACAATGATTGTTGACATTCCTACACGTTTGTTCTTTAAATTTTAAAAATAGCACTTTGTTCTTTTCAAATACACTAATATCTCACCTAATCCATTTTGATATCCAGTTAAAATTTTGAAAGTAATGCAGAGTTGTATCATTCAATCATTTGAATCCTTCCTACAAATAGTTTTCAGTGTTATCCGTTGTACATATGTAAGTGGATCTGTAATATATAAATAAGGAGATGTAGCATGATTGCCAATATGACGACAACCCACCAAAGTCCAAATGATGTTGATGCAATAATAAAAAGGTCACTACAGCCTTCAACAATGAGCAAAACCTATAGTGAATAGTCAGGTTTAAAAATCCCCTTGAGAAGCTTGACACAATGTGCAACAATTCTAAGGAAATAAACCAACAGCCTTTATGACAAAGCAATTAACTAATCAAAGGCTCCTGACTGCAAGTTGATTTCTTAACTTTTCAGAAAACTCTTTGATGTGAAGACAGAAACTCCAGCTCCAGGTACATACATAACTTTTAAGATAGGGTGTTAAAAATCTTGATATATTATATAGAGAAATGTCTTGTTGAAGTCCTTTTATTATCCACTAAGTAGTCTTTTGTTGATGTTGTATATTGTACACTTGCTGAATGCATATATACATGATTTTAACACATATTTGCACTTGGAAAAAATATGTGTTGACATGAAGCCACAAAAAATGACAAGTTGGTGAAGAATACTGACATACACTGCATAGGGTTAACCTATCTGAAAATGAATCAACTTGAAAAGAAAAAAACTCAAGAAATTTACTTGCTAAGGACTGTTCCATTAATGAAAAGATGGGATACATGCACTTTAAAAAATGTCAACTATGGAAGATGTCAAATACTTATATGTACACTAAAATTGGAAGTGAAATTCTGAATAGGTGGTTATTATATTTTACTTTAATTATATGTAAAAATTTGATATAACTAACATGCATAGTTCTTGTGTCATTGTGAACTTGTACTTTTACAGAGATTCCAGATCCAGCCAGTATAAAGCTGTCTGATGATGTCATTAGAAAAATCCGAGCCCTCAAGGAGAAGAAGAAATCAACAATCATGTTACCAATGGGCATGCCATCAAAACGTGGAAGGGGTAGTGCTATAGCCATGCATTCAAGTTCTGCATCACAGAAACTTCAAAAAATAATGGCATCTAATTTAAATGAGAATTCAATTATAAAGTTAGACACATACGTCCCAAGAAAATCTTCAATATCAAATGTGGAAAAATCTAACGACGTTTGTGCTAATTATTATACACCTATACCAGAACATGATTACTGTCAGAATGTACCGAAACCTGTGACGGAAACAAATGTGTCTATAGATTATAATGAAGAGGATATTCTGGACCTTCAAGATACTGAAACGTGGAGTGATAAGGAAAACAATGAGAATGATTCAGGTATTAATGAATCTTTTGTTTCAAATTCTAGTGCTAAGAAACAACTAAATAACAAGAGGAACTACAGGAAAAGAGATCGGGAAGAAAGTCCGGAGGTTGAGTTAGGAAATTATTTTGATAAAATTCCATCCTATTACACTGCCTTGTCAAGAAAACACAATCAAAAGAAAGCAAAAACTTCGGCTTCAGATAAACCGTTGGGTAATTCATCATTTGAGGATTCTTTACAATCCAACCCTACACCTGACAGTGATTCTTCAGCATACAGTAAACTACCTGCATATTATAGTTGTTTTACAAACAGTACAAAATATGATAACTCAAAAGGCTTTGACAGTTCTCAGGATAGTAGAAGTAGTGGTTATTCTAGCATACCATCATCATATAGGTCAAGGTCACCATCTCCATCCTATGAAAGATCACCTTCAAGGTCAAGATCAAGAGCTCGTTACAACAGTGTTAGTCGTGGAAGGAGGAGAACAAGAGTAGATAGACGTTCTTCATACTCCAGTGCTGATTCCAGGTCAAGTTCTAGATCATCAAAGTGTTCAATGTGTTCAAGGTTTGTTTTTTATTACACTTTGATATTTGAATATTTAATATATAGTATATTTTAAATATTGGTTTTATTTTAAGAAGTTGATAGGCTGCTTGCAGTAGTGCAATAATTAGAGTTTTTCACATCTTTAATTTTGTTTAAAAAAGATTTGGAAGTGCAATATCTTGGAGGATTTAAATTTAAACAAACACCATATTAAAAATTAAAGCTATTTTTATTGATAGAATATGTATTCATAAAAAGATAATTATTTTTTGGTTCTTACCTTAATTTTGTGTATATTTAAACCACAGCATGAATACATTTTTGTTTTACAGAATGATAATGTAAACACTTATTTCCCTCAGGTCAAGGTCAGTTTCAAGGACAAGATGTCTTTCAAGAGATTCTTATTCAAGTGATTCTTCTTACTCAAGGTCAAGATCAAGGTCGCCAAATTACAGACGGTAAGATATAAAACATAATAATGTGAAACATTTCAGAATAGTTAATAGCATTAAAGTTGAGATTCTACCACAATGCTACTTTAAACACACTATTGTTAATGCTCATCTGTACAAGAAGAAACATATTACATCACACGTTATTTTACATCAGAAAAGCATATAAATATTAATTATTGTTCAGTAGCAGTTCAGTCCTGCGAATAAATGCATTAAACAAGAATTTACACAAATCTGACATTTTCAGTGCTAAGTAGAGAAATAATTTGAACCAAGAGTATGATTAATTACCAAATAATAGCAAAATCACTAAAATGAAAACTCCCAGTATAATATTCCAAATGTATTTGGTGGAAAATCAGTCTGAACAATTTACTTATCATGTTGTTTATCAAACACATCAGAACTTGTGAAAATATTGGATGAAACATTTGTCATTAAATAAAGTAAAAATGTTACAGATACTTCACTTGTCTTACAATTAAGTTTGGTTTTAAAAATAAGAAAATGTGGTATGATTGTCAATAAGACAACTGGCCACCATAGACCAAATGACGTAGAAGTTAACAACTATAGGTCACAGAACAGCCAAACAAAACCCATACCTCATAGTAAGCGATAAAAGGCACCGAAATGACAAATGTAAAGCAATTTAAGTGAGAAAAGTAGTTTATCTCCTGGTTGTCTGTTTATTTTTTTAATAACTTACATTTTTTTATACAAATAGTTTATTTCAGAGACTTTGTTACATGATGAGGTTGTTAGACTTGATGCATACATTATGTCAATACAGATTTATCCCTCTCCTAAGTGACTTTTTATTTGACTACCAAGTTCATGAACTTTTTTATTTGATAATTAATATGCATAGATTTCCATTTTATCAATAGGACCAGTCGAAGCAGATCACGTGAAAGGCGACGACAAAAACGAGAAAAGGAAAGGGAAGAAAGAAAGCAACAGCAAATTGTAAGTTGGATATACTGTCTTTAGGTGTGTATAAAACGCACCCATGCATAGTATGCACCTCCCTTTTCACGCTTGACACTTTAGAAAAAAAAGTTTCTGCTTATGCTTTACACGCAGGGACTTTCTGGAAAAATCCCAACTTGAAACTCGGTAAAATGTGTCCATTGAAAAGGATTTCTGTTTTGTTGACAAATTGAACTCCAGTCCTGGTTGATTACAGGATAATGAAAACGTTGTTGCAGACCAAATAACTTAGCAAACACTGTTTGATTCTTTATTGTTTCCACGAATGTGTTTGATTGAGAACAACAGGAAGTGTTATATGGGAAGTTGTTAAAATGCAAATCGTAGTTGGTGAATCTTGTACGAAATATGGATTCATTACGAATATTCTTTAATACACGATAAATAAATAAATTGTAATATTTATGTTGTTAGATTAGTGCTAAAATAAATATTAATCTCTGCTAATTTCATTAATTGTTGGTCAGTACTCATTGAATCGTTTAATCCGGATTATAACACTCTTATTGATAATTAATTAGGAAGTCTAATCGTTGTCAAAATAAATCAATTGACAGGTTTACTTTGTTCCTCAATCAAATTAGTACAGGTATTAAAATAGCATTTTAAAAACATGCTTACAAGTTATGATTTGTTTGAAGGTTTTTATAGAGGATTTTAAAATGTCACAAAGTAAAAACGTATAAAATCATCAATTTATTCAACTTCATAATGATAAAGTCACATGACATGTGATCACCTGATACCATGAAAGTAAAAAAACAATGGCGGTCTCTATCATCAAACAGGCGTGTTTCATTCAATTTTCATACATTCACCTTCTGTGTTCCTTGTTAGAACATATCAAAAGTAAGTTATAAACTTGAGAATCACCTACACTTATTTGGCCATTAACCAGTCAGGGGTGCTACTTAAACAAGTGATTTCATCATCACTTATTTCAGTGATTTGATAAATTCAGTTATCACCTATTTAAGTGATTTTAGTGTTTTCTTTGATCTTCAAATGCTAATTTCATTGATTTTCCATATTTTCACAATCTTTTCTATAATTTTCCTACATAAATCAATTATCCCTTTTTCTTTGTATATTAATTTCACCAGTGCGCTTGGGCAGTAAGTTAGTGCGCTAAAGCTTTTAAAAGTACCCTTGGGAATTTTTCTGTAATCAAAAATTCATTAACTACTCTTACTATCAGACAAAGATCAACAATATTAGGTAACCTGATTGGTTTTCTTTAGAGTTAGAATGATCTACTTCAAGGTTATGACCTGATCTACAAACTATTCCAGTTTTTGTATATTTTAAAAAAACTGTAAAAGTGTCAGGCTTATCAAGCAAAAAACAATTTCTGCATGTACATAGTTGTTTTTTCAATGGAATTGTTGTCTTTTTACCAATAAAAAAATCAAGCTTGGGGGAAAAATATCAAGAAAATGTTATAAACACTTATTAAAGTGATTACATTTTAACTTCTAAAATTACTTGTTTCAGTGATTTTAAAAAGTCTGTGTGGAAATTTTTAATATTTCACAGCCAAAATCACTCGAGGAAGTGATTCTGAAATCACTTGTTTAAGTAGTACCCCTGACTGTTAACAGAATCATCTCTTATTGGGTTTGACCAAATGCAACTTCCGAGCGGCAACATAGAGCAGACACTAGAAAATTCAAAAACATAACTACTAAAGCATGTAAATGATTTTTATTTGCATATAACATCACAAATCATATACTAGAATGTACAGATATACATTTAAAACATAACAACAATCAATTGGTTTGCCAAGAAAATATTTTCTTCCTGGTTTCATGGCTGAGTTTCTAGATTGTGTTTACATTTACCCCACCCCCCAAACAGAAGTAATAGAGAGTGAAGTTATAGTAGAATAGTAGAAAAATCAACATCAATATTTATACAAGGGAATCCAAAATCTTCAGTTTTTCTGTCGCACTGCACAACAATACATTCTGGTTGAATCAATGTAATCTCGTACTAGATTTTTTACCAAATCATACTTTTACAAATTTGTACCCAGTTTTAAGAGTTTGTATAACTAATTACCAACAAGTGTAATGACAATAATGAGTCCTTTATCACAGAGACATGTTAAAGAGATTGTAAAACACTCTTGTCTAGTATCACAGGTACATAACACTTGCCTCATATTAATGATACTGAACATTCAAGCAGACTTATTTCATGATTTTATAACTTTAATATAGGAAGAGAGGCGAATTATCTATGTGGGAAAAGTTCCAAATGATTACACAAGAAAGAAACTTCACACACGGTTCCAAAGATTTGGAGAAATAGAGGAAGTTAGTCTACATTTCAGAGAACATGGGTAGGTGATATGTTACAGTAGAAAATGGGTAGGTGATATGTTACAGTAGAACATGGGTAGGTGATATGTTACAGTAGAACATGGGTAGGTGATATGTTACAGTAGAACATGGGTAGGTGATATGTTACAGTAGAACATGGGTAGGTGATATGTTACAGTAGTACATGGGTAGGTGATATGTTACAGTAGAACATGGGTAGGTGATATGTTACAGTAGTACATGGGTAGGTGATATGTTACAGAGAACATGGGTAGGTGATATGTTACAGTAGTACATGGGTAGGTGATATGTTACAGTAGAACATGGGTAGGTGATATGTTACAGTAGTACATGGGTAGGTGATATGTTACAGAGAACATGGGTAGGTGATATGTTACAGTAGTACATGGGTAGGTGATAAGTTACAGTAGTAGGGTATTTACAAGTAATGGAAATTTATCAGAAGTTCATTTAATTACAACTTACAATTGTAGTAGGGATATTTGTATGAAAAAAGGGAGATGTGTGTACATCAATGAAAGTAACCCAAGGACACAAATAACCAAAAATGGTATGGAGGGCAAACTTCAACAATTGAAAGCTTAAGCTCTGAATCGTCCCAAGTTTAAAAGTTATAAATAAGTTTTAACAGAAACTATAAAATATCAGCAATGAACATCAAATTCATTATACCCCCTTTAATTTCTTATCCTGTCTAAGAGTGGGGGCTATATTGCAATCACTTTGTATGTCATTCAACTAATATATATGCCACGTTTCTTAGCAACTACTGAACAGAATGACTACATATTTCATCAGCATGTTTGATAGTGATGAGTTGTAACGTGTGACCTTTTTTTTAGCAAACCTGGTCCAAAGGGCCAAGTGAGCCATTCTCATCACTTGGCGTCGTTTTCGTCTGTTAACTTTTACTTAAATCTTCTCTGAAACTATTGGCCAAATTTAACCAAACTTAGCCACAATTATCATTGGGGTATCTAGTTAAAAAAATGTGTCGGATGACCCCGTTTGCCAACCAAGATGGCTGACATGGCTAAAACTAGAACATAGAGGTAAAATGCAAGTTTTGTCTTTTATTTTGAAAAGCGTTAGAAATAGAGAAAATCTGACAGGAGCACAAATGTTCAGAATGGTGAGATCTACCAATTGTCCGTATACTTCTTATATGACTTATTGCCCTTAAATGACAAATTTTACCATTTTTTTAATTTTTATACGACCGCAAAAAAATTTTTGTGGTCGTATATTGGTATGACGTTGGCGTCGTCCGGCGTCGGCGTCGTCCGGCGTCGTCGTCCGAATACACATTAGTTTTCGCACTCTAACTTTAGTTTAAGTAAATGGATCTCAATGAAATTTTACCATAAGGTTCAATACCACAAAAGGAAGGTGGGGATTGATTTTGGGGGTTATGGTACTAACAGTTAAGGAATTAGGGGCCAAAAGGGGCCAAAAATAAGCATTTTTGTAACTTCCAGACATAACTTGTGTGTAAGTGTATGGATCTCTCTGACATTGTACCACAAGGTTCCATATCACAAAGGGAATGCTGGGATTGATTTTGGGGGTAATTGCCTCCAAATTTTAGGAATTGGGGGCCAAAAAGGGGCAAAAAACAAGCATTTTTATACGACCATGACAATATCTTGTTTGTAAGTGTATGGATCTTTATGAAATTGTACTACAAGGTTCCATATCACAAAAGGAATACTGGGATTGATTTTTGGGGTAATTTCCTCCAAATTTTAGGAATTAGGGGCCAAAAAGGGGCAAAAAACAAGCATTTTTCTAGTTTCATGACAATAACTTGTTTGTAAGTGTATGGATCTTTATGAAATTGTACTACAAGGTTCCATATCACAAAGGGAAGGCTGGGATTGATTTTGGGGGTTTTCCCTCAAAATTTTAGTAATTAGGGGCCATAAAAGGGCAAAAAAAACATGCATTTTTCTAGTTTCAGGACAATAACTTGTGTGTAAGTGTATGGATCTTTATGAAATTGTACTGCAAGGTTCCATATCACAAAGGGAAAGCTGGAATTGAGTTTGGGGGTAATTGCCCTAAACGTTTAGGAATTTGGGGCCAAAAAGGGGCCAAAAAACAAGCATTTTTCTAGTTTCCAGACAATAACTTGTGTTCAAGTGTATGAATCTCTCTGAAATTGTACTGCAAGGTACCATACCACAAAGGGAAAGCTGGGATTGAGTTTGGGGGTGATGAATCATAAGGGGGTTCAAAAAATTGGGGGGGGGGATTTTTTTTTCCTTTTTTTTCTTTAACATTTTCCATTTTAAATTGGTTATTTCTGATTTATATATAAAAGCAAATAATAATGATATGGTTTGAATAGGCATACATGTGAACCTCCCGACGGGAGTACAATAATCCCGTTTTCAGGGGTCTCCTCCCGACCTCCCGTTGAAGAGGAAAAAATCCCGTGTATGAAATTTTTCATGAATGAAAAATTTCTGCCCAACATATCATCTCAGGCATCTGGTGTAACTGACATTACCTGAAGTTATATTTTACCTGTAAATCAATTAACATGCATAATTATATGGCTTCACTTGTCAGCTTGGGTGTCAAACATACAGGTAATCAACGATTTTTACCTCAGGCTAACTGCCGTTGTGTAACAAAAACTGTGTATTTATTGGGTTACTTCCCTTGATTTATCCTGTTTTAAGTTACTTTCCTTTTAATAATGAAAATTTTTAAAAGAATATAAATAAAATATAAATTGAACAAATAATCATAAAAGGATGGTTATTAAATGATTTTAAATGTCTTAGGACAAATAAAAAAATAATAATTTGAAAATTATTTGAGGATTCTAGACTTCCTTTCAAGGCTTAAATTGAAATTTATATAATAACTATGACCCTAATTTTACAGATAAAATGATTTTCTGAGTTTGCAAATAAAAACTATTTGCAAGAGAAAAAAAAAAATAAAAACTATTTGCAGATAGCTAAACAAATGTTCTGGTTGCAATGATTGTTTTATAGAATATGAAATAAAAAATTTAAAGAACATACTGGAAAAATACAATGTTAGATTGAACATGTAGAATATAAAGATGGAGAAACTTTATAAGTACAAGGGTACTATAAACATAATAAATTGGATGGAAAGTTGAAGAAAACACACTTTAAAAGACCATTTTTACAGCACACGGTTACATTTACAACAAAATTAATGTCGATTAAAAACCTCCTGATCTGAGTCCTAATCTCCTGACCAAAATTTCCCAATCTCCTGATCTGAGTTTCACAGTCCATCACATGTATGAATAGGTAAATTGAAAATTTTTAAGTTCTTAGACCACTTTCATTCTGTGTCAGAAACCTATGCTGTGTCAAATATTTAATTACAATCCAAATTCAGTGCTGTATCAAGCTTGAATGTTGTGTCCATACTTGCCCCAACTGTTCAGGGTTCGACCTCTGCGGTCGTATCAAGCTGCGCCCCAGCGGAGCATTTTATTGCCTATTATCTTGAAAACTATAATAGATGGAAAGAAACTTTAAATTGCAAAATTGATCAGCAAGACAAGTTCTAAAAATAAGTCTCATGTTTGAAATCGTCGGTCGACTCCTTAATAGACTTTAATAGAATTTTTCTCGCTGTGTTGAAGACCTATTGCGCCTTCAGCTGTTTTCTGCTCTTTGGTCAGGTTGTTGTCTCTTTTGACACATTCCCCATTTTTCGTTCTCAATTTTATTGCCTTTTGATGATGATTTTTACCAAATTTTTGTATTTTTTGTCTTATATCTTAAAATATTATAATAGATAGATAGAAACTTAGATAAGCAAAAATGATCAGCAAGACAAGATCTACAATTAAGACAATATGGAGGAAATCGTGCGACAACTCCTTATTTGAGTTATTGCCCTTTAATGACGATTTTTACCATTTTTGGGGCGTTTTGCCTATGATAAATATTATAATAAGTAAAAAGACTCTTTAAATACCAAAAATGATCAACAAGGCAAGATGTACTTACAAGTCAAATTTTGCCGAGATAGTAGACTGCCACTCTTTATAGGAATGATTGCCCTTAAATAAGGATTTTTTTTTTACCCTCTTTTGTGTTAGTAGCGAAAACTAAACAAATTAAATGATCTGCAATACAAGATCAACAAAACAGAGATTTTTGTCTACAATGTTGGAGAGTGTCCTTTGTTAAATATGCACATAGACCAAGTTGAGCGACACAGGATCTTTAGAGCCTCTACTTATGTCATATGACTAGTTCCTGTTTTCTGATACTTTAATTTAAAATTGTTGGTATGCTTAGCACAACAAATGATGCATTCTTGTTTTCTATGCCAAGAACATACATATTGAAGCTAGCTTATAGGATTGTTGGAAATTGAATTTAAAATCCCTCATCAGTTAGGTAACCCAAGAAAGACTTATTTTTATTACATTTAATGAATAGAATCATTGTTTTGATAAAAGTTAAAAGATACATTTTTTTTCCTATTTCTCAATGTTTTATTTATTTACAGAGATAACTATGGATTTGTGACTTTTCTCTACACCTGTGATGCTTATGCTGCTATAGAAAGTAAGTAAACAAAATACTTTGTAGGTTTAATAAAAAGGAAGCTCTTTTTTCCCCTCCGAATTCCTCAAATAAAGTCAAATCTTGACCAAGTACATGTAGTAAAAACTAAGGAAGAGGAATGGATAAAATATTAAAAAAAAATCTAGAAATATTTGTACATTGGTAACAATGGTTTTCAAAGAGCACTTAAGTTACGTCAATCAATAAAATTGGACAATTTTGACAGATGTATAGAAAAGTGTTGCATAAATTTAAGCAAATAGCAAATAAAAACCTTAAGAGCATAATTATTTGGGTAAAAAGGCATGACTGGATATCTTTTTAAAAAAAGAATACATAAATCTTGATTTTTCAGAGGGCAATACTATACCTGGTGAAGAACGTTTTGATCTTTGTTTTGGTGGCAGACGACAGTTTTGTGAAACAGAATATGCTGACCTAGGTTTGTACTTGCTTTTTTTTTTAAATTATTTAATGATTCATATTGGATATTTATAAAATATGGTTTACATGGATTACAATGTAGAAATAACAATTGATATAGACAAGTAATTTATGTTGTAATGATTACAACTGGCTGATTCTTGTGGCATCCTTGCACCAATTATCACCATGAAATATATATGGATATGGAAATATAGCCAGTGATTTAAAGTTTTTTTTTGTATGTTTTAAACATCCAAGAAATAGTTTAGGTACAGATATACAATTAAAACCCTCATGTTACTGGCTTCATAGTTATCAATTTCCCAGACGTTATCACTTAAAGGTCTACAACTCAACAACGATAAAAACTAAAATCATGAAAATCAAACGCCCTTTTTTAAGTCACAGGAAACAACATTTCGAAATTTGAAAAGATTTCGTCAAAGTGTTTTCAAGTTATTGCACGGACAACACTTTTAAGTATCACTTTTGGCTGCTTAAAGGTCTACAACTCAACTATGATAAAAGCTAAAATAGTGAAAATCAAACTTGACCTTCATTTAGTCACAGGAAACAACATATCTGAATTTGAAACGATTTCGTCAAAGTGTTTTCAAGTTAATGCAAGGACACTGTTTGGCAGCAGCCCGCCCGTCCACACATCACTTAATTAATAACCAATATTTTCCTTTGGAAATCTGGTTAAAAATTTGAGTTATCTTCCTTTGTCCAGAATTGTAGTTGAAGCAATTCATAGTATTGCCTTCCAATGTTTAATACAATTCTATGTTAAATTTTTTGTTCCCACTGTAAAATAATTGCGATCTTTACACTCCAGTACTCAGGAGCAGTATGAATTGTATTTCTTTTTCTAAATGACCTTTGAAACTTGCAAGAACTTGACCACCTGTAAGTATTAGATATGCCTTGAGGGCATTTATGTTTAACCTTTGGACATTGGCTGAAATACTAAGGGTAATAAAGATACCAAATAATATTATTAATAATTGTTCTTGTAGATGGGAATGCAGAAATGGAGGAGGAATTCAATCCATACCCTACAACTTCTGATCCTTTTGATTTTGATGCCTTGTTAAAACAAGCCAAGAATAAAATGGGGAAGAGATAATATTGGACAAGCAATAATAAAACAATCCTACAGTCTTTCAAAAGTAGTGGAAGTGTTTTGTTCCATGGTAGTCATCTAATCATACATCTGTAATACTGTAAAGTCACAAATTTTCCCAAGGAATTTATCTTTTGCTAATTTTGTGACGAGATTAAATTGTGAAAATATGCCTCACTTCTATTTCATTTTTTATAAGATCAGAATCGGTGGCAAGAACAAAGCCAAAATCTTAGAAATCTTGAAAAATGTTAACAGCACAAAGAACACTTTACAGTTGTCAACATATACATATCTACAGTCGTCCTAAACATGCACAAGAATATTTCCTACTGGACGTTAAACAAACATATATCAATCATTATATATGGTAGTCTTATTACAACATCATTTCCATTGTGATTAAGGATACATTTACATATGAAGTATCATCAACTTCTCGGGTTGTTTTCATAATGTGGTAGAGCATTTGTTTGTTGTTTTTTTGTAGTGATTTTGAATATGAATGAATTGTAATAATCTGTATAAATGACAATGTTCAACTTGACATAGAAAAGATTTATTTGGGGCATTTGTTGACAATTTTTGCATTTTATTGAGGGTTGTCATGGTTATTGTGTTTATATAAATTGTACAATTTGCTTTGGTGATTAAGGCATGAGCGTATTTCATAATAGTTATTATACTAAATTCTACTTTAAAAAGATTAGATTAAGGATTTTTTTTTTTTAAGAGAAAATTTATTATTAAAAGAATTTATAAATAAGAAAATATATTTTAGTTTAATTAACATGATTAAGTTGTTAGATAATCATATATAAACTATATCAAAACCTTCATTTGTTTTTGGTTTAATTATCTTTAGTGCTACTTTTTTGTGTTTATTCTTTAACCAATTTATGTCCATTACCATTTACTGTGCATTCACATTAACCTTAATTTTCTATTATGTTATCTGGAGGCAATGTTGATTGATATTTACAAAAAAATAACTCAATTAACTGGACTATGAAATGTGTATGGATAACATATGCTAACTGTAGGAAAGAGTAGAATGTCTCAAAATGAAAAGAAAAGAAAGACTGAGTGAATAGTACAAATGTTTGTTATCTCTCGTGCAGAATACTGTTTTTTTTTTTAATTACAGAAAGTATTTTTTATTTAATAGATATCCAAAAAACTTACCAAGTTTATAGTGCTACCTATTTTATTCGTATTTACCTATATTTTATAGGGTTGCAACCTATCATAAACATGCAGAATGGGCAAAACCTTTTTTTGTTGTATTTGAAAAAGAATTTTGTTAATGTGTTGTGGGATTTTTTATGCTATATATACCTGTCACTTGATTTATATATAATTACATTGATGATATATAATTACATTGATGTTTCATAAGGATTCCTATATTTTGATATGTAGACAACAATCACAGGGTGTTTTAAAGTGATGTTTTATTTTCTTATAAATCGCAACATCCATGACTGCATGCACTCTACATGACAAGGTTACGCATAGGAACTTATAAAACTAAAGAAAGAAGTTAGATTTAATTGGTGATTTTCTGGTTTAAGCATTAACTAGTATATATAAGAATTGAATGCGTCTTTTTGTCGTTTAGAGGGTTATAAAGGTATTGATTGTTCACAAATTTTCAGTAGATAGCATGGACACAAAATAGACTTCAGTCAACACTTTAATATCCCTTTAAAACTACAAAAAGCATTGAGTTAATATTTGATTATCTTTGGATGTAATTTATTATATGTGAATAGATGTTTAGGTTGGCATACTGTAGATAGGGAAATTTTTAACCTTTCACATATCTACAATAAGGTTTTTTTTTTTTTTTAAGTAGTGCTTATATGTTTAGGGAATGTGACAAAAATGGGTTTCCATTAATTTTGGGAATTACAAGATATCTTTCCTGGTTGTAATCCTGAATTATACCTTCATATAACTTAGTCATAGATAGGGAATAAACCTTCACATCCCCATAGGAACAGTTTTGGAATTTTCCCTTGCCTGTCTTGTAAATTTTCCAGAACTGGATAAAAAAGAAAGTAGAATAATGAAGCCCTGAATTTGAAGCCTATATAATGTTATATCTGTAACCTGAATCACAATAGACTAATCAGAATCATGGTATATTTGTGTAAAACTGTCAGGGAAACACGGAGTACATGATGTGTGTATTTATAGAGGAACATTTGTGATGGAAACACTGAGTACATGATATGTGTATTTATAGAGGAACAATTGTCGGTATGATTGACTCATTGATTTGTACATCTTGATATATTTCTATGTAACATTATTTTGTAAAACCATTTTGACTCGAATTGTTTTGATCCTTTGACTGTTTGGTTTATTGCGACATTTGAATGGACTGTTATGAATGAAGTGACTGATGTGATTGTTTTATATGAAATATCTCAAATTAAATTACAAAAATTTTCAACATTTTGTTACCTTATTTTTTTGCCCCCGCCATAGCGGAGGGGGCATTAATTTTACCCTTGTCCGTCCGTATGTCCCAAAATTGGTTTCCGTTTTCTAACTTAAGTTTGCCTCAACCTAATGTTATGAAACTTATACACAATGCTTATTACCATTTTACCGTTCTTGAGTTCTGTACCTTATAATGTTATATGCAAGCGGGGGCATCATCTCTGTCCCATGGACACATTCCCCATTTATTTTGATTTATCACAGAATAGATGATAGTTGTAGCAGATATGTTTTTATCTTTTCATTTAAGAATGAAAACAGTCTGCAGACCTCCAAAGACTTATTTCTCGTGTTGTTGAGTTTCTGCCCCATGGATGATTACCAAACAAAAAAATTACACTAACATTTGAAACTTGTAAATTTGTGTTATTGTGTGTTTTTCTATCTGGTATTTATAGGTGAATAGTTTGGAATTGAATAAAAAATGTGTCAGTCAGCAGCCTAATTCTACATAAAAAAAAACATCTAGAAATTAATACACACTTCAGACAATAGAAAATATCTGCTCAATACTGATATGTCAAGTACTCAATACTGATATGTCAAGTACTCAATACTGATATGTCAAGTACTCAATACTGATATGTCAAGCACTAAATCAATCCAAATTGAAGAAAGGTTATATTTTAAAATAATATAAACTGTACCTGTCTTCATCGCCAGAAGGACAACATTAAGTTATAAAATAGACAACCACTGATGAGGTTATGGTACATTAATATATGGAGGAGAGGTTTTACACTTGACCCTCCCCATTTTAATCTCCAATAGTGAAAAAAAAACTAAAGGTATATAGAATAATGTATAATGAAAAATTCATACAAAACATAAAGCTATACATCAATCTGGAGTTAATAATTTGACTACAATTGACAATGTTGCTCTGGGTGACCTAATGATGTTTCCAAAATAATTTTCATGGTTTTGCCCAATGCCCATTATATAAAAAATGATTAATAGACAGAAAGAAACTATACAGCAATACAATATCTACAAAAATGCCAATTTGATCAAAACCATATGACTCCTTGAGGAGTAAATGACATCTTTTACTGATTTTCAGACTTTGCCTACTATCTTGAAATTTTAATGGATAGATAGAAACTGTAAAAAGCTATAAACTATCAACGATACATTAGAAAAAATTCATAGGTGGGCGATTCAGGCTCTTGTGAGTCTCTTGAGTATTTAACATCTAAATTTTGTCCAGGTATAAATTACCACCATGGCCACAGTGGCTAAAATGAGAACATTGATTTGAGCAGTCTTGCACTGATATCTCAAAAAACTAAAGCAAACTGAGAAACAACTAATGTGATAAAAAATGGTCACAGCACAACAAATTCTATCGTCCCTAAAATTTAAGAGCTGTTGACCCATTTTAGAGTTGTTGCCCCTGAAATGTTGATTATTGACATTTTTGGCAGTTTTTGAAAACTCTATGAATTAGGTCAGAAGTATTATTTCAAAAATAATAAACATGACAAGCACTATCTACCTGAAAAATGTCAGAAAAATCATGAACACTATATAGAGTGATTGCTCCTGAAATGTCCGTCATCTTTAAAACTTTAATAGCTATAGTGTGTGATAACATTTTGTGAGGGAATTCGATGTTTGCTATACCATGGTTCATTTCAACGCACTTTATAACAATACCACTATACCAATCAGAATGAATGTTTGCAGTGTTTTAAGAAATGAATTTGCTTTGTATCCATGTATTATTTGTGAAATTTTAAATGTTTTAGAAGGGCGAATTTTCGGTATAAAGTCAATAATTATGGAGGCTTTTGAAGCCCAAACTTTCTATTGCCTTAAATACACAAATGAAAGATCCGAAAACTATACCAATACAGAACGACATGTTTTGGGAATTATAGCAAAACTTGTATTTGACAAATCTTTATTCTTATTACAAAAAATGAACTTAAAATATCTGTCATTTTCTCCCTACCCAGTTTACCCCTATAACTTATTATGATGTGGACTGGTCATTATTATTTAATCTTACGCAATTTGATTGGATTAAGTTATTATTAGTTTACCTTCAAACTGTTTATTTTTTTGTACATGTAAATTAATTAAATCTGAACGTGCATGAATGTGTACAGTAACTTAAATGGCTTTCAAACTGGACACTGGAAGAGTCCATATTATTTTTTATCAATGAAACTAAAGGTGTGAAAGGTAAGCATTGCCATTTCCTATATTTTCACAAAATTTTCCACATATAGAGTAGATAAATTACTTTTTTAATATCCTATTCCCGAGAAAAAAGGAGAAAATTTACAAATCAGACGTTTTATTTCATTAAACAAGTCATTTTTCGAAGAGAAATGCCGAAATACATTTTACACACGGCTACGCCAGGTAAATTATTGTTTATCTTACAAACAAAAAAACAACATTTTTCAATCTCATTATAATGTTATAATTACAATTAATCCCAAACAAAAGTAGTCAGTAAATAAAGTCAAAATATGTCCGATCTGCCTTTTTTTACATTAAAATCCAATACGATCGTTTTAAGGTCAATTTCGTCTACCTTACAAAATCTTGCTAGACACTATAGGTTAAATGTATTAATATAAAAAAATAATCAACATGACAAGTTACTGCCTTGAAAATGAGAGAAAACCCAAACGATCTGTTTTGTAGTTCAAGTGTTGCCCCTAAAATATCTATTTTGACAGGGTTGCCGTTTTCTTGAATATTTTAGGAACTACCTATAGACTAAAAAGTAAAATAACAAAAATACCGAACTCCAAAGAAAATTAAAAAATGAAAGTCCCTAATCAAATGGCAAAATCAAAAGCTCAAACACATCAATCGAATGGAAATACATTGCAAAAATGATCACCACAAGATGATCTATCAATTCTGAAAATAAACAAAAAAGGGTCAACCTGTTTTAGAGTTTTTGCCCAAAAAATTTGGTCAGTAGGTGGCCTTTTGCATGGCTTAATTTCAGTTCCTATCCAACATATCCTCGTCTATCATTGGCATTTTAAAATTTCCGACCCGTCCCGGTCGACCCCTATTGCATGACCTAGATATTGTATTGATTGTTAGTTTGTTTTCTTCCTTATCATGTATAAAATATTTACCACTGGGCGTAAAGCAAACAACAACTAATCAATCAATACGTATTTCGAGTCTGTTTATATCGTATTCATCGTACTGTTTATATCGTATTCATCGTAATCGTATGATTTCCATGCAGCTGGCATACTAGTATTCCATTTAGTTAGTTTGTCAATAGTAATCGATATACAGATAAAGTCTATACTGGGGTACTACGAAGAAGAATTTTATTAAAAGATCCAAACAATAAAAAAAGGCATACACATAAACAATACAAGCATGTAACAGTGACAATATAAAACAAATTATTGCGCGACAACATGCCTCTTCCAAAATAGCATTAACATTATTATATTAAGAAGACGAAGATATAGAAGTCGATGAAAATAAAAAGATCTACATGTATTCGTAAAATACATATAAAACCATACGTGTAAAGTACACAATACACAAATATAATGCTTGATTCTACCATTATATACATCTCATTTATGACAATAACAGTGAAAAGTATCAGCAAATCGAGAGAAAAGTACACATTTCATTATGACTTGGCTTTACCATAAAAGAAAATTAAGACACATCGCCATGGACAAAAGATACTGAAAAATATATTAATCCTGAGAGAAAAACAACAGCAGCAATTACTCCCAGTGTATACAGAACAGTTGACCATCTCCCATCACGTTTTGCCCTGTCATCATGTCCAGACCTATATTCCTCGTCAGATCTCTCCATGAAATGAACTCCTGGTAAACAACACAACAAACAGAAGAAGAAGAAACATGGACAATGTAACACGGCATGTATCTTATGGTTACAACTATTATGAGGATTTGGTTGTATTACATAGTCCTTCGGAGCGACTCGTTCTTCTTCTGATAAACGATTGAAAAAATATCGCAAAGGTTCATCTGCAACTTGTTCTTGTGCCGATTGTTCTTGTTTCTCTGACCATGGACTTAATGGCTGAGTAAACACAAACTGTCTTTTAGGTGTAGGAGGACACGTGACTGATCTGCGGGGAGTATCATATGCCTGGTGAATATTTTCCCATTCTTCGCCAATAGACATATTTATCTGTCGGGTATAATGAGAGCCAGCTGACTGTTTTGATCGTATGGAAAATGTCCTTTGGAAAGATTTTTCAGAAAACGGTGACCCTGGAACAATCGAATCGTCATGATAAAAAGGATTGTAATATTCCGGATGGTGAAATGCCATTTTTGCTGAATCAGTGTCATTATAGATACTTTGATTGTAAACATTGAAATCTAAAAGTAAATCTTCTTCTATTTGTAACGCTAGATTATCATGGGCTGGTGGTGCTGATGGCACAACATATGACATTTTAAAGATCTACAATAAAAAGAAAAAATTAAAACAAGATGTCAGATGAAAAATATGGTATACACATAAGCATACATTGGACAACCCTGACTGAAACCACTTTCTCGACATTTAAATTTCAATTTAAATGAAAAAGTCTGATAGTTTTACTGGATTTAACTGTCTATAGAACTGTATGCTTTGATTAACACATTGTCCTTCATACGAAAACAACCCAAAGAATGTCACTACACCTATGTAAATATACAAAAGGCATATACAGGTAAAGATTGGCAAACATCCATTATCATCTCGTTAGTATATATTAGTTTAACTTTGATTCAGATCAAAGAATATAAATATTACAATCAGCCACATGACAGTATAAAAATAGTTAAATAATATATAGCTTATTTTTGAAAAAAGTCTTTACTTACCTAAATGAATTAGTTTATCCACACTGAATAAATAGTTTCTTCATTGTTAAAATAAATGAATCATATCCGTCATAATACACAATTATTATTACAATTACATACCAGTAAGGGCGTAAAACAACACGTCAACGTTTTTATTGGTTGAAAGTTTTATTAATAAGTTATAAATGTAATAATTATCTTTATCTGAAATTGATGAAAGAGGTTATTTTTACCTTCACTTTTCAACGCAAGAGAAGACAATTTTTCATTAGAATTACACAGAAAATATATGAATAGTCTTGTTTGAAGAACAAACGGACTAAGTATACAAAAGAGTAACTCAAATCAAGGAAATACTTTATCTTGATTCATCCCTGTGTATTTAACCTCAGATCCGCTGAACCTACACAGACGACCACGTCTTCTGTAACTTTATAGAACAATGAATCTTTGTCTTTATTTATCTTGTCTTTATTGAAAAATGAGCGTGAAAGAATAAGTAGCTGTGGTCAAGTATTGCGACTGGATCGTGAAAGACCTGGTATTTTACTCCATCAATATTCGATTGTATTATAAAAAGGCGAAACAAATCAGAAAAAAACGAGTTTGTCAAAATGATAATTGCTTCTCAATAAAACTGCATATAAAACAATTAAGGTAACTAAAAATGCAGTACTCTTAAAGAAAACAGAAAAGATGAGACACAACCCTATGCATGTTTGTAAAGAAAACACCATTTAAAATCAGTTATGGTAAAATTTCACATACATTAAAATATAATTGTGTTTATTCCTGCAAAGGGTTCAGATTGTGTAACAATCATATAGTTAATCGTGAAAGGTCTGGGAACGCACTATTTTGGTTGTGATAGGCAATTCGTGACCACATAAGAAAACGAAATTTCTTTTATCAATTGATATACTTTAAGTTGATTAAAGTGTTTAGTTACTGAATAAGATCGCGTATGGATGTTTTGTTTAACTATCTTGAATATGTTGCCGGAAACAGAGATAATTTTTAAGATACTAAATGATTTGAACCTATCATAAACTGTTGACACAGAGATATGTCTCGCCTTTTTGATGTTATATTTTTAATGCAAATGTTGAAATTAAACATGTTAGCTATGCAGCAAAATATTTAAAGTCAATGAACCATGACTGAGGGGTCGGGGCCAAACAATCTCCATGGAAATGAGATGTGCCAATGCTAATACAACTGCATACCAAATATCATTGACCTGCCACCAGTGGTTCCCCATAAACTGACCTAATCACAAACTAATATTTTGTTGACGCCGCAGCCGCCGCAGCCGGAAAATCCTACCTATGTCTCGCTTTTTGACTCCGTCAAGGCGAAACAAAAATAATTTTGTATTTTAATCGAAGTGACACATTATATCTGTTTGCTCCATTCCATAATTTGTGAATAAATAAGTATATTACAAGTTTACTAAAAATCTTATACTATCTATTGAGATTTATACACGTTAACTGTTTTGACAAATTATAAAACTGTTTGAGTGGCAGCATGTTCCGTTAAGTCATTTGGCACCAAAGTGTTCTCACATTACAAAATTTATTAGACTCTTTTGTATCCAATTTATAAGGAAATTGACTATTTGATGGACATAGGCAATTTGAAAATTGATGGAATCAAGCTTGTCATTATGACGTGTATCCTTAATTTTTAGCTGTCTGTCTGGTTTTTTTTTTTAAATTTCATATCAAGATTAGAAAATATAAGATATGAATCACATCCTGCTATACCATCCTTAATTATAAATTGATTTTGTGTATGGAACTGAATGTCTATTTTATGAAAATACAATTTCAGTATCTTTGAAATTAACTGAAGTATGATAAGCAGCCATTTTCAATGTTTCCTTTTAATATTGTGATTAATAAACAGTTAATACACACTACCTCCATCTTAAATTTGGAGAAGGAACACTTTTCTCTGAATTTATCTTATGCCAGGTCCATTTTCAAAGAAGTCTTTCAATCTTTACTTAAATTCATAGTATCACAACCAAAAGTACGTCTGAACTAAAGTTATGTATTATCTTGTGATATGAATTAATTCATTTTGGTAAGCGAGGCCCTTCGATATGCCTTCAACACGCTGAATATCTTTTTGATTTTGTGGAAATATTTTAAATTGTAAACACTATATATTTAAGGAATATGATATAGACTCTCTAATATTCAATTTAGAGTAGGATTTGACAACTTTAAAAGATATTTACCCTTTGAGAGTAACAGAAGTTGGCCCTACTCCTTTGTGTTCACACTACTGAACTTCATAATACAAGCAAATTTTGCAAAAAAGTTTGGCAAAGTATCTCTTATCTATGCATCCGACCTGTATTAAGACAGCCTAAGATGTATTACTGTATTCAAAATGTATCTATACATCTAACAATATACTGACTGATATATATAAATCGAAAAAAGCAGTTACCGGTTTTTCTTTTTCTTCATGTCTTCTGAGAAAACATGGTAAAGAACACAGCCATATCCACGACCCACCCCCTCCCCCCAACAAAAACATAAAAAAGGAAAAAAACTTAGCTTCAATCAGGTGATTATTCTGTACTCTGTTCAATCAATAGACCTGTCATGCGATTGAAATCAAGGTTGTGGTTCGTCAGTCTGAAGTGTTGGTGGCTGACTAAGATATATGTTTTTTTTTGTTTTGGTAATTTTCCTTTTTTTCACATTTAGGCGTTTGTGAAATGGATAGGTATAGACTCACCAACATAATAGTGGCCACGCACAGAACATTCTATAATATAAATGACATTCGTCTGACCGATACAAAGCCCATTACTGAGACCAAATTGTCGGAAGATTTTGACAATTTTGCTAGAAGTCTCGCATGAAAAACATTTATCGTCGAAGGACAATGACGACGAAAACTCTGGTCATCATTTTGGGATATATACATCTAGAAACAAAATCAGAATATACATGTATATATTTTTGAATTAACTTAAAGATAAATCGCAAAAATTCGGAAACTGAATCTTTGATATATTTTCTATTTAGATATAGGCAAACGTTTTCGGATTATGTTTCATCATAAACTATGTAAAATGAATTGTTTGAAAACATATTTCATGGATGCTAGACACCAAATAATGACTTATTCAAAAGAATCAGAATATTTTATGTTTACTTTCCATTAATATCATTTGTTTCGTTGATTTTAAGAGAATAACTGTAAAAGTTTACCCTTAGAAACCGTTAATCAGAGAGAAAAAAAGACATATTACTCAAGAAGTATGGGTAAGGTCCGATGCTTGAGAGTTACTACGTCTCCATTCTGGAGTTTCCTAAGACATATTACTTAAGAAGTATGGGTAAGGTCCGATGCTTCAGAGTTACTACGTCTCCATTCTGGAGTTTCCTAAGACATATTACTTAAGAAGTATGGGTAAGGTCCGATGCTTCAGAGTTACTACGTCTCCATTCTGGAGTTTCCTAAGACATATTACTTAAGAAGTATGGGTAAGGTCCGATGCTTCAGAGTTACTACGTCTCCATTCTGGAGTTTCCTAAGACATATTACTTAAGAAGTATGGGTAAGGTCCGATGCTTGAGAGTTACTACGTCTCCATTCGGGAGTTTCCTAAGACATATTACTTAAGAAGTATGGGTAAGGTCCGATGCTTGAGAGTTACTACGTCTCCATTCGGGAGTTTCCTAAGACATATTACTTAAGAAGTATGGGTAAGGTCCGATGCTTGAGAGTTACTACGTCTCCATTCGGGAGTTTCCTAAGACATATTACTGAAGAAGTATGGGTAAGGTCCGATGCTTGAGAGTTACTACGTCTCCATTCGGGAGTTTCCTAAGACATATTACTTAAGAAGTATGGGTAAAGTCCGATGCTTGATAATTACTACGTCTCCATTCGGGAGTTTCCTAAGACATATTACTTAAGAAGTATGGGTAAGGTCCGATGCTTGAGAGTTACTACGTCTCCATTCGGGAGTTTCCTAAGACATATTACTTAAGAAGTATGGGTAAGGTCCGATGCTTGAGAATTACTACGTCTCCATTCGGGAGTTTCCTAAACATTTGATTATTACAAATTCCAGTGGTCAGATTGCATCCTTTTTATTGGCAACTTGAAGACTTTAAAGGGAAGTAATTTCATATAGTTAAAAATTTCGTTTAATTATGATTATCGAGGAGCGAAGTTTCCAGTAATCATAAAGCCACGGTATGACAATGGGAACCAGCCATCTATCATGATTCGTTTTAATCAACCTGATTTGGTGTACATGTTCTTATTGTAAATGTTACTGTTTAGATATGAGTAATAGCATAATCCAAAGGACATGGTTTCTGCAAATCAAATGATTTTTGTTATTATATAAATAAGAAGATGTGGTTTGAGTGCCAATGAGACAACTACCCATCCAATTCACAATGTGTAAAAAGTAAACAATTATAGGTCAAAGTACGGCCTTCAACACGGAGCCTTGGCTCACACCGAACAGCAAGCTATAAAGGGCCCCAAAAAGACTAGTGTAAAACAATTCAAACAGGAAAACCAACGGTCTAATCTATATAAAAAACGAGAAACGAGAAACAATTA